AGAGAGGCGGTATTGTACGCTCCTCCGACAGTGACCCTACATGGAGGGCACGGGTGGTAGTGATTGCGTGCTGGTAAGAATAGTCACAGCGATAGCCTTGAACGCGCTATATCAGAGGACAAGGCTGCCGTCTTAGCAGGGAATAACGGCCCGGGAATGACTTGAGTAGCAATACAGCAGAAGCACCGATCATCATATGGAAGCAGAATGGGAAACCTATCAGATCTTATCTAATCTCTAACGAGGCTGAGGCTGACTTGTCTAGCAGTCAGGCCTGACCGACCCATACAACCACCCACTGACAACTTGGTGTGCTAGCTTTTCTCTCACGTACAAAGCCGTACGTACCATCATCACCAAGGGAGGGAAAGCCAAGCCCCACCTACCCCGGATGGACACGCTCTTCCGCGTCCTCTACCTGCACTTGCGCAGCATCTGGCTGCGCACCCGTGCCCTCTTCTTCTCGATCCGATTTCACAGATTACGCACCAGCGGCAGCAAGAACGCCCCCACTACCACGTGCACACACCACCGACCCCCTACGCCGATGCCGAACTCGGCGACAACGTCGCTCGTGAGTCGCTGCGTGCCCGCGTTGTCGACCGCCAGGACGAAAGCGTGGGCGTGTACGCGTACGCGCGAGCTCAAGGCGCGGATGAAGGAGCGCCGAGTGGCGGCGAAGAAGAACAAGCAGGCGATGTATGCGCGGATGACTGTGGGGACCGCGACCGCCGCCCCCGCGGAGGTGGGGGCAGGTGTAAACGAATACTACTGCGCGGAGGAAGGTAACGAGGAGGTGGAGGCGCGGGCGCAAGTTGAAGACCGAGACGCACTCGAGACGCTCTTCACGCCTCCATCAACCGGGTCGCGCCGCCCCCGCTCTCTATTCTCCTCCGCGCCGTCGCCGCTCTCGCTCTCGCGCGCGTCGACACCGGGCCTATCGCCCGCGCTGCGGTCAGAGCTCAGGCTGGCGCTCGAGCTGGGCTATCCCCTCCCGAGCCCGACCATATCCTGCGTCTCGTCCGCCGGCCGCGGCTCCAGCTCGGACAGCAGCAGCGCGCCAGCCACGCCATTGACACCGATGGGCTTCCCAGGTACCGGCACCGTCGACTATTATCACGTCAACGAAGCCGCCACACCATCCCCGATCCCGATCCCGACGCCCGTCACGGTGCGCCCGCGCCCGCATCCCCGTCCGCGCGCCCAGTTCCGCACGCTGTCCGCGTCCATCACGGCGCTCTCCCCGCTCTCGCTCTCGTTCCCGTTCCCGCTTGGCCCGCGCCGCGCCTCGACGCCGAGCGTGGCGATGCGGCGATACATGTACGAGGATGGCGACGATGAGGAGGAGGGTGAGGAAGATGAAGATGGACGGGACGGTCAGGTGTGGGGAGGATCGACGGGGCGACGACGCGACGCGGAAGAGGGCGCCAGGGGTGCAGGTGCAGGTGCAGCAGAAGACCCGTTCGGCGTGCACGGGAGCGCGTATTATGCGCCCGGCGCACGTACGGCGCTCGGCCTCGGCGACGCGTACGACCTGTCGGCGTGGGCGTGGGCACGCGACGTTTCGCCGCGCCGCGCCGCAGCAACGAAACGCAAGCGCCACGTCCGAACTGCGGAGCAACAGCGGCAGTACGGCGTCCACGCCCATCCCGCCACCTCCGCTGTTGCTGCTGCTGCCAGTGGTGGTGGTGGTGAGACCGTCGTGGGTGGCGCGGGATCTGGGTCCGTCTACCGCGCGCCGATCCACGCTGCGTCTGCCCCGCAGCTGTCGTACGTGCGACGCGCGGACAAGGAGTTGGAATATTTGCGCGCGCTAGCGAATGCGACCGCGAGAGCGAGGAGGGTCGTGCGGCCGCCTGTGCCCGTGCCTGCGCCCGTGCCTGCGAGTGCGGGTGCGCATGACAGTACGCCTGGACATAGAAGAGGGATGCGTCCGCTGCTGCTCCCGCAGAAACTCGGGCTATTGGGTAGTGGCGGACCGCAACGCGAGAACGGGAAGGTCGATTCATTTACTTCGGGCAGGCGCGGGCGTGACGTGAGCGGGTGGGAGCTAGACTTGGAACGCGGGGAGTGTGGCGAGGAAGGCATTGCAGAGACGTAGAGCGTGGGAGACGACGACGGTCGGCGTATTGTGGCTGCTGCTTGATTTGCTGTCTCGTGAAATGCTGTAGATCGATACCAACGTGCTTCAATGATATCCTGTCCACTGTGAAGGGAAAGTCTCTCTCGAAGTTTGTTAGGGAGGAAAATGAATGCATTGAATTAACGCGTCAGCAAGGCGAGAATACAACATGTCATGTCTATGATCGAGTGATAAAATCTACAACGAGCTTCTTGAATTCATTCGGTCTACAAAAGTAGCGTCAGGTCAACACGAGCCAGCTGGGAAACTCACACACGTACTTTTCTGCATGCACTGAAACGTCAAACAGGTTCAGTGGGTGTTTTCTTAACATGATCGCCTGAACGCACCCCAATGTCCTGCGTCTAATGTCTCCAGAGACATACTTGGGAAAAACTCCTTTGCAACAGGTAGGTTGTTCTTGTTGATATACCTACTCTTCGCACCCTTCACGAAGAGGGTGTTCCCATCCCAAGAGCGCTCACCCGGTACGTAGGGGAAGCCGCCGAGGTTCAGGATCGAAGAGCCGACGATGTCGAGCGGGACTTGGAATTTGAAAGGTTGGATTGCGGTGTCAAGGTTGGTCAGGAGGAACGCGCGGATCGTGGGGTCCTAGAGAGAAGCGCGCTGTTGGGGGAGAGGGCGACTCATTAATGCAAAAATGATGACTCACTGGTTCGTAAGAGGCGAGAATGTCTTGGGCTTCTCTTCGAGAGTTGACGCCACTCTGCTCTATCTTATTCATGGCCTCGATATAGCCTTGAAACTCAGTGGAGAGCGCAACGCTTGATGGCGTGATATCGGCTACGATGAGATGTTCAATGGCGTCGGCGGGGAGTTCCGGAGAGAGGACGACGGCCATAGCGACTTTGCCACCCCTTTAGTGCAGATAGTTAGTGACGTGGGTATTGGGGGAGACGTGAACCAGTGTTATGATTCACATAGAATGACCAAGAAGAGAGACGTTCGAGAGCGAGTGTGACTGCAAGAAGTGGAGGATATCTGTAGCCATCGCCTCATAGTTCATCGGTTTTGCGTGAGGAGACGAGCCATGATTGCGGAGATCCTAAGACGAAGGGGGAGGATTCATGCTTATGAGACGTAGAGAAGGCGACGCAGCACCCACTAGAGCATACACAGGTCGTTGGAGATCACGGAGGAAAGCCTTGGAGAGTGACAACCAATTCCGTTTCATCCCACTAGCTCATTGTGAGTTTTCTGTCGGTAGAAATGAAGAATGAAATAGCAAAACACACACAAAAGCCCGTGAAGAATGACTAGCGGACTTTCCGGCTTTGAGGTATCCTTGGGATAGAAAGCATCGTATCTGAGGTCTACTGGGGTAATGCTTGTCCTGAAGAATCCTGGTCGCGGCGTGAGCAGAGTGTGTCGTGGACGAAAAATAAAGCAGGGTTTACTTTGAGATTGGAACGACGTGAATCTGGACGCGAATGGGACCTTGAAGGAAGACATGGATTGAAATTGACTGCTCCGAACCCGAACCGAACCGGTCACTTCTGGGAGCGACCTACCCTAAACAACTGCACTAAAAAATTCAGACGGAAACAGTACCGTGACCAAACCCAACCTCGACCAAAACCAAGGTGAGTCGCTCGTTATCCGCACAATACTCAGTCGACAAGATGAACATTCCTTTTTTCTCATGAGCGCGTCGTTATACCTAAATGGCGCTGCGACGACTAACCTATGTCATAGTTACACTGATCGGTTTTGCAATACTCTTTTCCTATTCTCTCTTCGTCATGGGCTATATATGCTTACCTTCCTCCCACCAGCTTCTCAGTCCCTGCCACTGTATCGTCACCCTTGATGAAGTTCCATGCGCAATAGGTGAGTCGATTATCAACCTCAACTCCACTTCTCGTTAGGATGATCCCAAATTCATTCAAACTAGAGTATCTGAGAGCTTTTGCTCCATGCTCTCACCATTCTCCATATCTGAACTCTCCTTGCGCTCATCCGGCCAAAGAGGCAAGACGCTGATGCTCTCGACGTTAGGTTATTTGATATGGCGCTGCTGAGAACATCGTCATGAGTGAGTGAGCCTTCCGTCCACGTCATCTCACTATGATGTTCCTTTATGGATTTACCGCCTGACCTCGACCGTAGTACACGGTTCCGAGTTTGACGACAAGACATGGCTGTTTTTTTCTTTTCTGATTTCCCGACAACCAAGCCTTGGGTGTAGTGTAGAGCTGACGACTCACTCAGGTCGACTCTGGCTCGTGAACATCACCGTCGGGTCGAGCCTTCATTCAATGCGGGGCCTTCATGATGTTCAGGTAAGTTTGACAGTCCTCGCTACCCCATGTTTCACCGCGACTTGTATGATGCTCTTTAACACGACGGTCTTCGTATAATCACTGCCGAAAATGCCCGCCACAGCTCACTTGTTTTCGGGCAACCCTTTCTGATATCCTCTCGTCTCTATTTATCTGGGTTCCTTTGCGTTGCTAATCGCCCTCTATCCCAGGGATTCCGCATGATCTCATGTAAGTCGATTCTCGATAAAGTGCACGATCTACGCTACTCTACGAGATGAAACATTAAAGATCATCAACTAGAAGCTGTTGCTGAGCTTCGGCCATGATTCTTGCAATTCGCAGAACTGAATCATTCTGAACCTATCATTCTTCGCCCTCACAGTTCAGCTGACAATTTTTTTCTTAGTGGGCCGTCATTGGTAGTTGCATATCCGATTCTGCACTACGGTATCAGTGCCATGTAGTTAGCTATAAGAATGTTAACAAATTTTCTCTAAAAGAGCTGGATGAAAGCTCAGGAAGGCATCTTGAGTCTGTACGGCTGAGCGTTTCGTTTCGTAGAACTGAACAGTCGTAAAGACAGAATAAAAGTATCCGGATACGGGGACTCGAACCCCGAGCTGCAGCGTCTCGGGCGCCAAATGGAAGTACACCTTGTACAGTAGTGTACTTCCATTTGGTTTATCAGCCCGAGCGGCGGCAATGTTAGCCATTACACCATATCCGGAACCTTATCAAGCCTGGAGAGGACACCCACATACCGGGACCTCTTCCACCAGAACTGTCCCCTGCACTGGTAGTTACCACTCATTCATTTCTAATTTTCTGGAGCGGGATGAGCCATTTAAAAAGAGGGAATAGTTGTTGAGAGATTCGTTAAAGAAGGGCGACAAGTCCTACTGCTGTTACCACTGGTGCCAGGGAAACAATGAACATTGCTATCATAAGGTTCACACCAGCTTGCTCGTTCTGAACACTTGATCGCCTGGTACCTCCTACGTAGCACAGTCACCTACGGTTGTTCGTTTCGTTTCGAGGATAGAACAGTCATCAACACAGATGACATGGTGGGCAGGAACTTTTACGGATGGATACAGTACTGTAAGTGGAGTCTGCTTACAGTAAGGCGCTGCCCCAGTATATGAGGCCAGTATATGACTTTCCTTCGTTCCCTGTTATCATCCCACTACAACTCACTATGCCCCGAACTCCCTCTGCGACCAACCCATCCGAGCGCTTTCAATACATTTTCGATAAGGCCTTGAAGGCGTACACGAAGAAGACCAAGAAAGACCTCCTCTCACACCCTCTATTTCGTGACATTGACGCCTGCGACTCTCCCGAAGATATCCTCAACAAGCTTCGAGATCGAATCCCCGGGTTCGATAAACCTGGAAGCAGCGATGACAGTCTGTCAAAATGGCTCACCCCAATCGTGAATGTTCTATATGCATTTTCTGCGACTCTTGGCGAGGGTGTGAGCCTGGTACGTCGTAGGAATCTTAACAAGACTCGTTCAGGAATGGCCCTCTGATCTTATTTCACAGGTATTCTCACCTGGGAAAGTAATCTTCGCCGGATTTGGCGTCCTCCTCTTGGTCAGTATCTCGATTCTTCGTCGTGGGGAATCTTGACGTCCATCTCTCTCAGGCGGCTAAGGATGTTGCCGCTAGCCAAGACGCACTCGTTGACGTATTTAGACGAGCGGAAAGCTTCCTTGGACGCCTCGAGACCTACACCCACGTCCCGCTGAGTGACGAGATGACAGAAGTCATTGCGAACATCATGGCTGAGGTGCTTTCGATCCTGGCCATCGCGTCGAGGGATATTACGGAGGGCAGAGGGAGTGAGTTGATCATGATCCCCCGTGGGAGACCCAACCTCGTAGCTTACTCCTTTTCAGAAAAGTTTGTGAAGAAGCTTATGGGAAAGACTGATATTGAGGACGCACTGGGTCGGCTGGACAAACTGACGCAAGACGAGGTTCGGATGGCTGTTGCACAAAATCTGAAGACTACCCACAGTGTCGATGACAAAGTAACGGCCGTTGGGTGTGGGGTGCAAGTCGTAGACGAAAAAGCGGATAGAATTCTTGACGGTGCACAATTCGTGTTCAGGTAGTCATCGACACCAACCTAACATTTTTCACGCCCAGTTGGCGAAAAAACGGGAGCAATGCTCCAACAGATGGCAAGCGACGTCGACGATAAGAACCGTTCGTGGTCTCGTAACAACCCCGTCATTTGCTGTCGACGCTCAAACATCCTTGCAGGGAATGACCTGCGACAGAAACTTAGAAAATGGCTCTCCCCCCAGATTCATCTGTAAACTACAACACTGCATGTAGTCTCCACCACAAAGGCACCGCAGAATGGTTTATTGAAGGCCCCGTATTCGCGGAGTGGAAGGAATCCGGATCCCTCTTGTGGATCCACGGAACACGTACGTTCTCTCCCCCTCTGTGCCTTCGCTCTTCGCTAACAGACCTCTGGTCCGATAGCGGGCTCCGGAAAGAGCGTTCTTAGGTACGCCTCTACCCCCGCACCAACTTGTTTTGACCAGGGTAGCTTATGTTATCGAATATCAAACAGCTCTACGATCATCCGGGACATCAAACGCATCACCAACGCTGGGTCATCACACCTGGCCTACTTTTTCTTTGACTTTAAGGACGCCGGAAAACAGGAATCCCGTGGTTTACTCACCTCCATCCTTCACCAGCTCTGCGATCAATCCCCAACTTGCTTGGACATTCTTTCCCGCTTGTACTCGACGACACACCGTCATGGCTCTGAGCAACCTAGCGATGATGCCCTCAAGCAATATCTCAAAGATATGCTCACGAAAACAGTACAAGTCCCGATTTATCTTGTTGTCGATGCCCTTGATGAATCTCCGGACACCGATGGAATACCGTCGTCGCGTCGAAAGGTGCTAGACCTTGTAAAGGAACTCGTCAAGTTGAAGTGTCCAAATTTGCGACTATGTGTCGCTAGTAGGGACGAGATAGACATCCGCACTGTCCTCCAGCCTTTGGCACGTTCCTTATCCCTCCACAACCAAAAAGGACAAAATGAAGATATCGTCGATTACATCTCCTCCGTTGTTTCCTCAGATCCAGAGTTCAACATGAGGGGATGGCGGGAAGAAGACAAGGAGTTGGTCATCAAGACACTCTCACTCAGAGCCGGGGGAATGTGGGGACGTCGTTGTCTTACTTGTAATACTTTCTCATACTGTGAAACAGGTTTCGCTGGGTTTATTGTCAACTTGAAATCCTTCGGCGCTGTTTTTCGCGGAATTTGCGACGTACCCTCGACGAATTGCCCGAAACTCTTGATGCGACGTATGATCGCATATTACGAGAAATCCCCAAGCAAAACAGAGATGACGCCCATCGACTGTTGCAATGTCTCACTGTGGCAGCTTGCCCGCTTCGTGTTAAAGAACTCGCAGAAGTACTCGCCGTTGATTTCACCTCTGAGGACCTTCCGAAGTTAAACGTTGATTCGCGCTGGGTGGATGAAGAACAAGCCGTTCTGTTGGCATGCTCCAGCCTAATTGCCGTTGTCCAGGAATACGACTGGCGAGGCCGGCCGTCCTCCAGACTTGTTCAGTTTTCCCACTTTTCTGTCAAAGAATTCCTCACCTCGGAACGTCTTGCCGAAGCAAAAGGGGATACTTCGCATTATCATATTCGCCCCGAGCCTGCGCACACGGTCATGGCGCAAGCTTGCCTTGCTGTCCTGTTTCGGCAGGACTACTCTATCAGCCCGAAGACCAGCAAGAGCTTCCCTCTAATTCAGTATGCTACCAGTAACTTCAGCGAGCATGTGGAGTTCGGAAACGTGTTAACGCAGATACCAGACGCGGTCGACTATCTCCTTGACGCAGAGAAACCGCACTTTGCTGCGTGGCTCTGGGCGCGCACAACCTATTTTGGAACCACTTTGGGCGGGGGTCCATTCCAGCTGGGAAGGAGGGCGGAACGACTAAAAACGGTTCCCTTATACTACGTTGCGGAATTGGGATTCTGCGGCCTGGTACAACATATCCTTTTGAAGCGTCCACAAGATGTAAACGCCCAGGGTGGTTATTGCGGTACAGCACTACACGTTGCGGTGGACAAAGGTCACGCCGAGGTCTCAAGGCTACTACTTGCGCACTGTGTGGACGTGGACGTTCGCGGCATCGAGAGCCGGACGCCACTGCACTTGGCATCGAAGAAGGGATACGTTGACATTGTGGAGCAGCTGCTTGATCGCAATGCGGATGTGGACGCGCAGGATAACAACCACTCGACTCCACTGCATCTCGCATTATCCCAATGGAACGTCGAGGCCGCGAAGCTTCTCATTGAATATGGTGCAAATGTCCAAGTGCAGAACAACAACGGCGAGACGCCACTACACCTCGCGTCGGAGCGCGGGTATCACGACATCATGCGGTTGTTACTGGACCGAGGTGCGGATGTAAATGAGCAGGATGACAATCACTCGACTCCACTCCATCTTGCATCCCAAAGGGGCACCGAGGCCGCAAAGCTTCTCGTTGAACATGGTGCAAATATCCAAGTGCGCAACAACAACAACCAGACGCCGCTACACCTCGCGTCGAAGCGCGGATATCACCACACTATACGGTTATTACTGGACCGAGGTGTGGATGTGGACGCGCAGGACCACAATCACTTGACTCCATTGCATCTTGCATCATCCCAATGGAACGTCGGGGCCGCGAAGCTTCTCATTGAATGTGGTGCAAATGTCCAAGTGCGGAACAACAACAGCCAGACGCCACTACACCTTGCGTCGGAGCGCGGATATCACCACACCATACTGTTATTACTGGACCGAGGTGCGGATGTACACGCGCAGGATGACAATCACTCGACTTCACTGCATCTCGCATTATCCCAATCGGAGGTCGAGGCCGCGAAGCTTCTCGTTGAATGTGGTGCAAATGTCCAAGTGCAGAACAACAACGGCGAGACGCCACTACACCTCGCGTCGAAGGGCGGATATCACGACGTCATGCGTTTATTACTGGACAAAGGCGCAGATATGGACGCCCAGGATCACAACCACTGGACTCCGCTGAATATAGCATCCTACCGAGGGGACCTCGAGGCCGTGGGCCTTCTGCTACGGCATGGCGCCAATGTCAGCGCAAAGAACAGGAAGGGCCAGACAGCACTACACTTCCTCTTAAAGGATCTAAGCGATAAATTCGGTGATTCGTATTTCGACGTCCTACGGTTATTACTGGAGCACAATGGTGATGTGGACGCACAGGACAACAAATACTCAACTCCACTGCATCTGGCATCAACCCATGGAAGCGTGAACGCGGTACGCATACTGCTTCAACATGGCGCCAATATCCATGTCCAGAATAAGAAAGGCAACACCCCATTCCAAGTTGCATCGGCGAGAGGACATCGGGGGATCATGCGGCTATTATCAGAGTATGTCACGGTGCAGAATGAATGTTAAATGTAGTATTTATAATTCTCGTCGAATACCCACAGTAAGGGAGCTAGGATGTTTTTATGCGAATTTTCTTAATACTCCACGCGACTAACCCCCCACTGAGTTGTAGGTTAGAATTTTGTTGTAAGGCGTGGTAGCCAGCTCGGAATGTGTTATGATGGGTCCGAAGCGAATGACCATGTTGCCTCACTCAACGACAGGTGGTGACTAGCCGGCCAAGCCGCCAAGCTTGGGCTTAGTGACTACATCGACCGGGTCTCCCCACTTACCTCCCTGACCCTGACTGGCGACAATGTTAACCGTTACACCATATCCGACATCCATCCTTGTCAAGCCTAGAGAGGACACCCACATATCGGGAAGCACCTGTTCCACCAGAACTGCCTCCTGCACTGGTAATTACCACTCGTTCATTTCAAATTTTCTGGAGCGGGATGAGCCATTAAAAAGGGGTGATAGTTGTTGAGAGATTAAAGGGCGACAAGTCCCGCCGCTGTTACTACTGGCGCTAGGGAAACGATGAACATTGCTATCGTAAGGTTCACACTAGCTTGCTCGTTCTGAGAGCACTCGGTAGCCTAGTACCTCCTACGTGGTACAGTTACCTACGATCATTCGTTTCGTTTCGTAAAATAGAACAGTCGTCAACACGGATGAAAAGTATTCGGATTCGGGGAATCGAACCCCGAGCTGCCGCGATCAAGTGATCAAGTGACCGGGAAGCCCTCCTCCCGGTCGCGACCACTTCTCAGTGAGAGGCGGCAATGTTAGCCGTTACACCATATCCGACAATCTTTACTTGACCTAGAGGGACACTACGCACCCATTCCACAGGAATGCCCCCTGCGCCGGCAGCTTCCACTCGGTTGTTTCTAAGAGTGCGTTCGGGAACAAGTTTGCCGCACGCGGCATCAGCCAAAAAAAAATCACAACTGCAAAATTCGGGGCGCAGCAAAGTGACCGTTCGAGAGCACCCTTTCTCGGTTGCGATTGTGATTTGAGATTGAGATTGCCCTGCCAAAAAAAAAACAGGTCTGGACCTGTTTTTATTTTTGAAATCGCAACCGCACACGTTACTCGGGCCGTGACCCTATCCTCGGGAGGGCGGGCCGCTCATCCGACTCCGCCCTCCGCACTGCCTGTCCGAGTCCGTACACCCGCCACTCCCTACTGTGTACTGCTACCAGAACCAGATTCACTCTAGTCCATTGGAATATTTTGAAAATGAAAAGGCGATAAGGTCAAGACATCAACAACGTTGTCCCGCAATGATGAGGCTACTGGCATTGAAGAGTTCATTGATCCAATGATCCACTGGCATCTCTGATTTACACATGTGTGCTGGGGCTCTTTGTCAAAGTGAGAGGCATAGGCGAGCGCAGATCCACTCGCTGTAGTGACAAGAATTAGCCCTGCAACTGCTGCAACTTCAATTGGATGGATGGAGGGCCTCAGGTGTCATGAGTGACTCAGGCGTGACAGCTCCAAGTCAGAGAAGTTGGATATATACAAAAATGCGACAGGGGGTGTACGGAGGATACAGCAAAATCTCTATTTCAGAAAACACGATCACTATTTCGCAGTTGCGAAATAGTGATCGCATGCGGAAGTTTTCACGCACGAAATTAGTGCCGAACGCACTCTAATTTCTGGAGCGGGACGAGCCATTGACAAGATGAACATTGTTGTCGAAAGGTCCCCACCACCTTGCTAGTTCTGTGCCTAGTACCTCCTACGTAGGCGATCCTTTCTTTCTGCCAGTGAATCGCCGTAGTCGTATCACGTCCTCCTCAATTTCTGGTGGTCGGATACCAGAATTTCCCGGTTACATTTTCCATGCCCATCGTGACGGATTTCGACCCCATTACGGACCATGGTGTGCAAGTTTTGTCCGCCATGGCAGTCAAACTCGAGATCGTCTTCGTGAAGGACGAGCCCTTGCTTGTACCACAACTAGAATTTCTTGTCAGTGAGGCCCTTTTGCCGAGTCTGTTGCGCCGAACAGACACCTCGAGTCGCTACAGTGTGACGCGACGCACCATCGAACGTTTGTTGGGGCGATGTCTCGCTCCCGCTGATCCTGTGGATGATACGACGACATGCGGCGAAGACAAACCTTAATTAGGTGCACGCGACGGCAATCTGTCCTAGATAGACGGGGCGTGTGGCCGCCTACCCTATCAGCGAACGGCGGGGATGATATAAGCGAGTACTGTTAGTGCACCATGACTAACGCGGGGGGGAGGGGGGGATGCGCACCCCACACCCATTCGAGCTCGTCGAATCGTCGGAACCTGTCTTTGTGACCGGTTCGGAACCCCTGCTCTAGACAAATGGCCGTGATCGACCGGCCGTTTCTTTCTTGATCCATTGTCACAAACCTGGAAGTGTTTACAAGTGTTTAGGACCGTTCCCAGACGGTTCCAAACGATTCTAAACGCTTCCAGTTCAGATGGCAGTGGGAAGGGCCCCGACGATTTCGTAAAGTCAGGCCCAGCTGTTGCGGTCAACTCGCTTGTGGAAGCCCGGGAAGGATAAGTCACCAAGGAATAGACGGACCTCGCCATCATCGTCGTGGGTATTGTCCCTCGTCTAGAGGTTGTGCCTCAATGCGACGCGTGTCTGTCATCATCGGCGAGGAAACTGAATGCCGGTTGTGGCGAAGACAGACTACCTCCGCTGTTCTGGAGAGAACTGATGCATCCGACATGACCGCTATGCCGTCACTAGAGCGCTGAGTCCTGAACTCTGTATTATTTTGATACAAAACCCAAAAACTCTGGAAAGTTCTTCGCCTCTCTGCCAGAGAAAAGTTTATAGAAATTGTAGGAAAACGAGTCTATGGGTTGGTCGTCTATTTGTCCTTGAAATGCCGGTACGGGATATCGCGTGTCTGTCCACAGGACTCGGTCGAAATGATCATGGGGCGAGATGGAGCATCCCGAGTTTGGTTAGCAAATTTGTGTCTGGTTGGCGCAGCGACTTGCCCTGCCAGATCGAATACCCGGCTTGGCATTGCCGTCGCTACTAAAGATCAACCACCTCATTAGGAGTGCGTAAACCCTTAGGCGAACTTACCTCGTTCTCTATCACAATGACGGTCATGGGGTTGGAAGCGTCCCACCAGCGATGCCGCGTCAAGAAACGTCTGTACAAACCTGAGCGCTCACTGAAACCACCCATCTCACTGTGCTCGCCATCGCCAGCGGTTGGTCTTGGTGTCCTCGCTTCCCCGGGACCATTTTCAAATAGGCCCCCGGTGATAGGTGGGCGCCGGAGAAAATGACGCCACTTGCGCCCTGTAGGGATCTGCGAAAGGTTCTGAACATACAGAAAGACGAACATGGGAAAATATTTCCGAGTCACCCATAGAAGATTATCGCCAGATGTTGATTAGTAAACCTTGTTTCGGGACCCGAAGAGGCGGAAGGCGAGTGAAGAGAGGCTACTTCACTCACACACCAAGGCGTGATGTACGGAAAATCGTGTCTGCGCCTTGCCCTTCACAAACAACGGTCAGCTTTGTGGGTGACTCATTGGACACAGAGAATACTAGCACAGCCTAATCCTGCCGGCAAGATCTATCAGTGGTCCTGACGACATCAAGCTACCCCCATCCGGACAGCTGAAGCAAGAGCCAATCTTGGCGAGATACCCAAGCCCGAGAGAAATTCAAAATCGCACCTTGTATTCCGATCTCACTTGAGTAAATTTGTTTAAGTCGGTTAAAAAGTCCGGAACCGACCTCCTAGAAACGGAACGATGGTTACAGTACATGGCGGCGTCAGTAACGAATGACTAGCTAGCGGGGCGTGCGGATGTAGATCAATCCTGCTGCTCTTTCCCCAACAGGCATTCGTAGGACGACCAAATTAGGACGATGAAGCAGATGATGTGATATTTAGGTTGCCACTCTCCTGTGCGCTGAATTGACGTACCTGGTGGACATTCTCAACTTCAGGAGTAATTTGATGGGTGAGGGTAATTGACAGCGTGTTCTAGCGTATTCACCCCCACGAAACCCGAGACAAGTGTGTCGGGCCCTATATTATCCCACGCCTCTTGCGGCCTACGACGGGGTCTGTGGGCACAAACAGGAGCTGAAGACAAGAAAGGACGCCCCGATGGCCACACCGTATCTAAGACTTAGCGTCACTGTGGGCGCCAGTCGTCTAATAGCATTAAGCGAACGAGCGAGTCTTGGTGGCGGTGCGATAGACAGGTGCACAGTATACTGCACTGCGCGCGCTGGCAAGACATTTTGTGTTGATAAAGCGCAAGTAAGGCGAGAAACCGGAGAACCTCCATCGGGAATTCCGAGAAGTTGGATACGTTGTGAAACAAAGCAAACAAGTGCAACGTTGACGAACTGAGACCGATCAGATGACATCGGTGTGATGAACAAGAAATGGACCATATCAAGAAGAGAGATGAACGTGCTTGCTAAGAAGCGTCTTGATCATGAAGAAAGACAGCCTCGGATAAAGCACCCACCAGAATGTTCATCAAGAATCCGAATGCAGCCGATATGCTAGGAGGCTGGCAGCCTGCGGAGCGAATTCGCTAGCGGAAATGACAAGAATTTGAAAGGACGATGAAACGGATGACGCCTTGACGCCTTGACACCACGCATTCGTACGCACGATCGTTCTTTCTTTCCACCAAAGGCTCGAGATGAGCAATTGTATCAAAGAAGGCTCGCGAACAGAAGGCGGAATAAAGTACACGCGACCGGCCGCGGGTTAAGGTGCCCCGGAAGTTGTACATCTAGCATTCACATTTACGTGTACGGGTTGTCGATGTCGTGACCGTTATTTCGGACGATCATATGCAACCGATGTGGCGCAGAATAGCGCATGCCTTATTAGAAAATTTAGGATGGATATCCTGGTCTCGAGGGCACGGCCGGCCCACGAAAGTGCATGAACCGGCGCTGTGATAGTTGAGAGCATGGCATCGTATACGTACGTGTTCATCCAGTAGCCGACTCCACGGGGAAAGAACTGAGCTCTGCTGCCAAATCAGAACCGAGATTCGTCAGTTGTATCTGTAGCTCAAGCTAATAGCCGAGCCCGTCGGCGGTCAAGAAGGTTTCCCACACCCACACCCACACCAACACACTTGCTGACTAAGACACATCACGCTTCTCCCGGTAGCTGCCGTCGCACTCGATTCTTCCAAGTAACCAACTGTCATAGGTTCTGGGAGTTCTGCACGATTGGGCAGGTTGCTTGCTACTAGCGAAGGTTAAACTGGGCATCCTTTCCATCTGCTTCACTTGCCTACCGCTTCTCCGGGACATCACATTGGCTTTTCGAACTCGGATTTCGTAGTGCTAGGAGTCTATCACGCTGCGCTGCCTGGCCCTCACGCAAGATGCTCCTTACCCGTCCGAGTTTTCTCTCGTTGGACGCTCTTGCAGGGCCATCTAGTCCCCATTCCCGAGTAGTCCTCCGTACTGTGTGGCATCGAACCAACCATAGCCCAGGAGCCACGTCACTACCAGCACCACCCCCCCTCTCAAATCTGGCAATTTCGAAAGATGCCGCTGCTGCCAGAGACTGGTTGAAGCGTTTTCGAGGGTGCCCCATTCCTAGGGCGGCCGTCGACATAGCCTTTTCCCGGAGTTCCGGTCCCGGCGGCCAGGTTTGTCCACCATCATGCATGTCGAGGCGCCACATCGAACCCGTGATAACAAACAGAACGTAAATAAAGTAAATACGAAGGCAACGGTGCGATGTGCCTTGGACTCAACCTGGGTGCCCTCCTGGGCGCGTGATGGCCTCCAA